AAATTTGTGGGCCGCCTCCTTAATTAAAGAAAAAAGAAAAAAAAAAGGATAGAGCTTAAGCCTTGTGAGAAAAATAGGAAAAAATTTGTGTGCGCCTTTTGGCGCACGGAATTGTTGTAAGCAGGATGGTCCAGATTGAACCACCAAATTGCCATCATTATTGGGGGTATTTTGGTTGATTTTCGAAGCCAATTAGCTTTTTTTATATATATTTTTGATACAGCGCACCACTCCCTAAAATTTTATATCAAAAATGAATATAAAAAGATTAAAAATAAAACAATACAAATGCACGTTAGCCAGCCATATTTGAGAAATTGGGTTTGCCCTATCCGTCTAATATTGTTCATAGTTGGCTGGTTAAAAAAAAAAATCTTTTCCAAATCGCAGTGAAAATTGCGGTTCAGACAACATAAAATCCTCAAATTAATTATATGAAAGAAAAAATATTTTAAGTCCTAAAAATAATATTTTACAACATATTATCTGGTCAATCTATTTTCAAGCCTTCACACATTAACCATATTTATATTAATTTTGGAATTTCAGATTTTATAATTAGGGGAAAATATATTTTAGCCCATCACAGGTTTTGACACCAAACCTATATTTTCTGACAATTTTTTAAACATGCTTTACTTTCTTTTCTTTTTTTTTTCTTTTTTCTTTTTTGGCCTGTTCCGTAGACTGCATGAACCTAAATGATATTTATCCCTCTCCAACAATTTATCATGCTAACTAGGAAGGCAAAGCATAACCCAAAGGATGGATGCTTCTTCGTAGGTCAAGAACCACATGAGCATGCCCGCACATAGGATTTGAATAGAGTACTAGTTATAAGGTTTCTTTTATGGAAAAAGTTTATATAAGGTTGCAACCTTAAAATGTAGAATCACAGATGCACCTCATAACTCCATAAAAAAGATTGTTTTAATGTTGAAAAACTCTCTAATTGACCATCTCAACATTGAGATGTATGAATATGAAAAAAAAAAAGGATTTTTAATCCCAGAAATAATGCATCTCAACACATTATCTAGACTGTCCATTTTCAAGATTTTCATATATTTTTATATCTGCTTGATTTTAATCATTTTTAGAGTTTAAAATTTTATGATTAGATCTAAAAATAGGTTTTTAAATAATCTTAATTGGAGGTGAGCCTTAATGAAATTATTTAAAATTACAACCTTATAGAACACGCACCCTTCTTTTATTACATGAAATTCCTAACCTTTCTTCGAGGTTCAACATGTCATTGTTTTTAGGAAGCTAATATGGAGGCCGATAGCTTGGCTAAATCTGGTGCTCAATAACTTTCATCGGTTGTCACCGGCTTTTCTTTGCAATTTTATGTATCTCTTTAGGTTAAGTAAAAAACAGGTTCATGTTCACATTAAAAAAAAAAAAAAGGGTTGTTTTGAGGTTTTGATACAATAGTCTTATTCTATAACCCAACCCCATGGGACCCTTCAATTATTAAAAGACTTGTTGAATGTCTCAATGCAAAGGTGTACTTTAATGAAGTCCAACCAAAGCATTAATGGGAATGGGGTTGAGGTTGCGGTCCTATTCATTTACCCCAAAAACAAACCAAAGCCATTAATCGCCGAAAAATTTGTTAAAATGCAAAAATATTCTCATCTCTTTCTGGATATGAACCCCGATTCAAAATTCATTTTAGAGATTAATTTTACATCTAAGATTTTAAAACTTGATATCTTGACCACGATAATTTATGCAATTATAAATCCAAAAACATAAAATGTAACCTTTAAAGATGGTCTACTTTTTAAAAAAATAAATAAAAAATATCCATTTTATTTCGTTACATATAATCAAATAAGCGTTGTCTTTGGAGATTAAAGCATTTCGAGTTACTTTGGATGTGTCTCCGATCCTAAATTCATAATAGACTTAGAATGTACTATACTTATAAGGACCCGGTTATGAGAGAGAGAGAGTCAGTTGATTGTAATTTTTCTTGAGATACGAGATATTATCAAAATTATAATTGCTGAAATCCTCTATTGTTACATGGAGTCTAATGCTAAGGTTGATTGACGTGCAAAAAAGGAGTACACCAATCTTTATCGGTGATTATTTTTGGAGTATGGCTACTAAAGTTTCATGATCACCATAGTATTCATGGTCTCTCTGTTACTTTTTATTTTTAAATGTATTTAATTCAATTTAATTATATTATATACTTATTATAATGATATCATTGTATTCAAGTCATTTGACTATTTTTAATAGTAAATTTCACTTTCTTTCTTTCTCTTAACCACTCATAAATGATATATGTTTTTATTTGATAGAGAGTATGATAAAAAAAAAAAAAAACTTAACTATTGATTTGGGCAGAAAGAAATCTGGACCATTGGATGTAAACTTGCCATATGTGATAAGGGGATAAGCTCCAATGCTTATAAAAAGAGCTCACTCACTCACCCAGGAAAAAATCTCGGTATCATTGCTCATCTCTCTAGCTATCCAAAAGCTTCATAACATAATTTCTTTTACATCTTTCTTTATTTGTCATTTCATAAATAATTTTTTTTTCAATTATTTTCTTTCAGTGACTTTGTCTGTATCTTGTAACTTATTTTTCTTTTAATAAATTTTTTTTTATAGCATTAATAAAATGAATAAAATAGAGAGAGAGAGAGAGAGAGAGAGTAAGTTGACTCGTCATAATTTGTGAGTCTCCGGACCCATCAAAGGTCCAGCTCTAAGGTAGACATCCAAATACGTTGCGTCCATTATAAGGCAAAATAAACGGTGCAAAAGAAAAATTGAACAACATCAATTTTAGTTTTTGTATAAGGCCAATTCTTTATGTAAACAAAATAAAGCCTCACCCAGATCCTTATCCAGAAAGCACTTTCGGCAACTAAAATATCCATGAGGGCTCTAAAATTAATAATTTCAGTAACATAAATCTCCAAGATGGTTCTAAAATCAATTTCCAACACCAAAATGAAATTCAAACCCAAAAAATGGTACAAATCTTATTAATATGTTAACACTTGTTTTTATAGCAAAAAAGACAGTTTAGATATTTTGTTACAATATACACAATTTTTAGAGCTTGAAATCTTTCTTTTTTTTCTTCACAACCATAATATTCAAACCAAAGGGATCCAAGTAAAGGTTTTCTAATTCTTGTATTACAATTTTTGATGAGGAGTTATAACGTGAGGCTTTGCTTATTTTGGTAGGACTGCAGCTCTACGAAACTATTTTTCCTTATAAAATTTAAAGAAAATTATAAATACCCCCAATTTCCACTTTATACATATCTTAACCCCTAATACTTTTTCTATTATACGCTAAACCCCAATATTATTTTTTTTGTATTTACTTCCAATCATATAGTTAAAAAATTTTGAACTAAAATATCATTTATCCGTCTCTCCTCATCTTTTTAACATATTTTTTTCTCAAATTCTTTTTAGTTACCAAAAAAAACTCCCACCCATCATCTCTTTTTCACTCCACCCGTTTCTCTCTTTATCTCTCTACCCACTCTCATTCTTTCTCTCTCCATCCTCTCTATCTTTCTTACTCTTTTTCTTTCTCTACTCTCGCTCACTCTTTGTTTTTCTACCCTCCCTCATTCTTTCTTCCTACCCTACCTCATCGTCTCTCTCTCTATCGTTCTCTCTACCCTCCCTCACTCTTTCTGTCTTTCAACCCTCTATCATATTTTCCTCTACCGCTTATATGCCCATAATGTGGTCTCTCAAGTTTTTGTGTCGAGCCAAATTTGTTTTACGGTCTGGCACGTTTTTGTATTGGACCACAAAATATTTTTTGGTTTGGCACAAAAAACGTGCCGAACCGCATAATGACCATGTGAAAGTTATTGGAATCCAATGCAGTAAGAGACGTTTTTGTGTAAGATCGAAATTTTTTTTGTCGATCGGACATGTTTTTGTGCCAGATCTTGTTGATCGGACATGTTTTTGTGCCGCACAAAAAGGTACCGGAACACAATATGGGCATGTGAGTGGTAGATATAGAAAACCGTGGGAGGATAGAGAGTGAGGGTAGAGAGAAAAACGGAGAGGATGGGTGGAGAGAGGTAAAGAGGAAGTGAGAGAGAAAACGTACTTTATTTAGGATTTTTAGTAAAGGTCATGTGTAAATGCAAGGAAAGATAACGTCCGGATTTTTAGTATAACAAAAAAACATATTGAGGTAGGATAAGTATAAAGTTCAAATTTAGGAGGATTTTGGAGGGAGGCCGTACTTTAGGGGAGCGGGCCCAAATATTTAGCTTACTTTTTGGGACATTTACATTTTGGGACATTTTCATGGTGGTACACATCACAGAGGTCTCTGAACTCCCTCCTGACCTCTCCATGTGACCCACCAGAACTGCTGTCTTTTTTTGCAGTTACGGACCCTGCGTTTTTAATGCATGACAGCTTATCATTTCAAATAAAAAAAAAAAATGAAAAAAAACTCCAGCACAATTATCGATTTTTTTTAGTTTATAAATCACGATTAGATCTCAATAACCACTTATCAGCACACGTTGCAGCTGAGTTTTGTAAATTACATGACAAAATTGGTTAGTTTAATAAATAAATATGCAGTTGAGTTCTGTACATTACAAGAGAAATTTTTTTAGTTTAATAAGTAAACAACTTTGAAACATTAATGATACATGAATTATTGCTCTCTCATTTTCAAATGAGTTCCAAGTAAGAATCAGCCCTTTCATTGACTTTGAATTGGGGTTTTTGTCTCCACCTTCTTTAAATGCAAAGTTCAACTCTCGCTGGTTTCAGGTGGGTCACCTAACCCCAAAATTTCAGTGAATTTCGGCTAAAATTTCAGCTTTTCTCACTGTCTTTCGGATAAGATTTCCATCTTTCTCAACAGGTTAATGTAAATTTTAAAATTTCTGTGAAATTTTAGTGTGATTTTCTTTGGGTTGTGGAATGAAGAGAATCAACAAATTTAGGTGTTCATTCTATTTTATTGAAGTTTTTCGACGAAATTTCGGTGATTTTCGTTGAGTTTAAGTTTGGAAACGAACTGATCGAGATTGAACTGTTTAATTTAATGGCATGCAATCGCACCAATAAATGTTCAGTTCTGGAGCTTCTCGTTATTTAATGTAAAAGATGCTAATTAAGTTTATGAGAAGTCTAGGCGAAATTTCGGTGATTTTAGTTGAGTTTTGGCTTAGAAATTGGAAATGAGAGAGTTATCTGAAATTTCAATGGATTTCGTTTGGTTAAGTTGTGGAATTTGGAATGCCCAGACTTCAATTATCTAGTATTCAATTTTTTTAAAATAATATATTTTGTTGTGAACAATATTTTATAAATATTATAATTTTTTAATACTGAAGATCTTAGTTCACAGGATGGCGACTACTACTGAACAAGATTTAGTTCACATTATTATTCAATATCATTCTTAAAATATTTGACCCTCTCTCTAGATGGGTTGTTTTCGCCTTGGATTCTCTCTCTGTAGATGGGTTATTTAGCTGTTGATTAAACTGCCGATAAATTCTGCAATCGACGGTTGATATTGGGTTTCATTGCTGTCAAAATGCAAATTTCCTCTGCACTTAGTGGCTGATGAATGGCTAAGAATTTGTTGTTTATCCCCGAATAACTGGGGAATCCGCCATTTTTCCGGAGAAACAAAATTGTCTTGTACTTGATGATACCTTAGTAAAAGAAAATGAAAAATAAAATAAAGAAATGGTGATTATGAGAGCTACCTCTGAATTAAACTATTCGTAGTGCACATTATCATATGAAAGTGTAATCAATTGTATTTAAACTCAAGTGGGTGTCTCTGTTTTTTGTGGGTTTCAATTGGGGTGGTGGAGAATTGGTGTTAAATTCTCTCCTTTTGCCCATTTGCTGGCTCTCCAAATTTTTCTTCTCGTTTTTGTACTCCTTTTCTTTGAATAACTGAGAAAAGCATTTGATTCAAAGGCAATGGAGACTTTAGGGGAGGTTGGTTTGGTGCTTGAAGAAGAAGAATCAGAGTCATTGATTCGAAAATCGAGGGTTCGAGCTACTTCAAATGGTTTGGATGCTAATGGTGAGAATGGTTCAATTGATATTGATGGGGATAAAGCTCAAGGAGATTCAGCGGAGCATAACGGAGACACTCTTGGAGTTTCAGTTGAAGTTAATGGAGATGTTCATGGAGGAGCTGGTTCTGAACCAACTGTTTATGAACCGATTGTTTACTTGGATAACACTGAACGTAAGCTGCTGCTTTGCTTTTAACTGTGACATGATTTGTCTATTTTCTTGAATAATAGTGATGAAGATGAAAAGCCTCGGATTTAAGAAAAAAGTGATTGGTTTGATTTATAGAAGGATGAATGCTGTGGGTTTGTTTTTCTGGGTATTGCTGGTGTAACCAGGACTAAAACATTCTTATTTCACAGTGCAGTAGTTTTTTGAGTCCCTCATACAGTGTGTAAATTTTTTGGTAGTGATTAAATTGCAAAGCTACTGCTGAGTTAAATTTAAGTACCAAAGCGTAAAGCAAAACATGTTGTATCATTGATCATCTTTGCATTGGTCATCTTTCCATAGGAAAGCACTTTTTTTGCTTTTCAAAAAATGAGGGAAATTCTAGCTTCAAGTATGAAGTCTACTAAGTTGCGTTGACAATCTCAGTCACAGAAATACAAATGCCAATAATAAAACTTGCAGTTTATTTCAGCTGTTTGTGAATCTTATAAGTGGTTCTATTTGTTTATGTGGCCATTAAGGTGATATCTCGTCATCGTCTTGTTAATTTTCTAAGAAAAAGGTTTGTAATAGGATTCTTTGGATTTGGATAAATTCACTAGCTCACAAGAGAACCCTCTGCAAAATCTGGGATAAAGTTTTGATTTATTTCTTTGTCCTTTTTTACATTGTACCTCACTTTCCTGGGATAAAGCTTAGTTTTCAGCTCTTTTCCACCTTTTTCTTTCTTTACATCAGTTTTTGGGATTAAATTTCCTTTCCCCTTGTCTTTTTCTTTCCTTTGTATCATTGGTTTCATTCACATTCTTATTTTTGTTCATCGATATTTGATAGCTTCCAATCTCTGTTGATCTCTTAGTTATGAAGGTCCTCTTTTCTTGTGAAGTTACAAATAATTCAACATGTAGCTTACATTTTTTTGTCAGTACATATTTGGCTATTCCTGAATATCCAGTTACAAACCAATTAGTCTCAAATTGTAAAACAGAAACTCAACTGGTTGACTTAAAATAGATTTCAAGTAGTTGAATGGTGTTGAAATGAATTGTTTGTGATGGAAAGTTTATATCTCTCCCATCTCAGTGGTGCCGACATACGAAGGGCTATTGATGACATGCCCTTTTGACTTAGAATTTACAACTCAGTAAGATCCCCTTTATTCAAGATGGATGAAAAAATGCTATATATCGTAGTGTCTAATTGTGTTGTACATGTCAGTGATGTTACTCCTGAGAACAATGGTTGTGTGTGAATTTCCTGAACCTGGTGATTTCAATAATGGATTTACAGTGATTAGTAGCAAATTTCAGGTATTTAACTTCTCCAGGAATAAAAATGAGGATACGTAATCATTCTCCAAAAAAAGAAAACGAAAAAGAGAGGATACCTAATTAGTAGCAGATTTCTGATGTTTAACTTCTCCAGGAATAAAAATGAGGATACTTAATCATTCTCAAAAAAAAAAGAGGATACCTAATTAGTTACTTCGTCTGTGTGTCTTCTAGTTTATTTGTTCAAGAGGTATATGTTCACGGAATTGTGCTTGTGCTTGATTTTACAGTCGTTGATAATTGAAACACTATGTCCCAAGTTCGATTCCTACTGCTGGACTAACAAGCCCCATGCCCACAAGGAAAAAAGAGAGAGAGAGAGAGAGAGAGAGAGAGAGAGAGAGAGAGAGAGAGAGAGAGAGAGAGAGAGAGAGAGAGAGAGAGAGAGTAGAGTAGAGTAGTAGTACGTAGTAACGTACGTAACGTAAGTAACGTAACGTAACGTAACGTAACGTAACGTAACGTACGTTAACTACGT